ATTCACAGCAACATAGATGGACCTAGAGATTATACTAAGTGAAGTCAGAGAGAGGCAGGTATCGTATATCACTTATACGTGATATCTAAAAGAATGACACAAATGAGCTTATTTACAAAACAGAAAGAGACTCACAGACATAGAAAACAAACTTATGGTTACCAAAAGGGAAAGGGGTAAATTAGGAGTTTGGGATTGACATATATAAAATAGAGAACCAACAAGGACCTCCTATATAGCACAGGGACTTATATTCAATATCTTGTAATAACCTATAATGGAAAAGAATCTGAAAAAGAATAGGTTTATATATATATAACTAAATCACTTTGCTGTCCACTTGAAACACTGTAAATCAACTATACTTCAATTTAAAAAAAGAGTGGTTGGTTGCCAAGATATGATATACCATCCAGAATCCCGGTGAGGAAGGACTTGGTGGCCCACCTGCTGGGAGACCCCTTCAGGGATTGCATTAGCTACAGAGCTGTCTTGGCTACAAAGAGCCACGCTACACAAGGTCATAGTCCTTTCTAAACCAACCCACAGGGATAAAGTCCAGGCTATTTTGGCCCAACTCAGGACAGCTCTGAAAGGTCATTCTAGCTCCAGAGTTCCCCGTGGACCAGCCAAGGCTGTCTTTGGCCCTGCATCACAGTTCAACTTCTCTCTGTGGCCGTCCTGTGTCCTTCCCCTCCCTGCCACAGGTATTGAGCCTAAGGACAGTCCTGCCACATTAAACACCTGCTTCCCGGAGAACCCAACCTGTGACAGGCTCTGACCCAGAGTGTCTCAGGGCATTATTATTAGATATTAACACTTAAGTACACTTACATGGTTCAGGAGACGCTATACTTTTCATCACTCATTCTACTGTATGAATGATGAAATAGTATGCTCAGCCCATTCACACTAAATATTTTCACATGAGACTCACTGGTAACATTCCCAAGCTATCTTATATCTCCTTTATGAAACAATAACATGCTTAGGAATGCCAGAGTGCTTCAGACTCTGGAATCTAGTTAAGTTCTCATTATTGGTTAAATTGATCAGGTGCCATTTTATAACTATGTTCTTCCTTTTTTTTCCCTTTTTTAAAACTGGCTGAAAAAGAATGGCCCCTTTCAAATGTCTCCCACGGACTGAACTGCTGCTAGGCTTGATCAGCAGAGTTTAACCATTTTTTAAAATTGAAATATAGTTAATTTACAATGTTGTTAGCTTCAGGTGTACAGCAAAGTGATTCAGCTATATATGTACTTTTTCAGATTCCTTTGCATTATAGGTTATTACAAGATATTGAGATATTCCCGTGCTATACAGGAGGTCCTTATTTAACTATTTTATACATAGTAGTATGTATATGTTAATCCCAAACTCCTAATTTATCCTTCCTCCTCCAGCCCGCTTTTCCCCTTGGTAACCGGAAGTTTGTTTTCTATGTTTGTGCAGCAGAGTTGATAAGGGACCCTAAGAGTAAAGTTCTTCTCACCATAAATGAGTACCAACTGGAAAAGCCTACGTACGTACTGCTGAAGCACATGCCCTTTCTGATGCTACGTTCCTCTTCTCTTCTCTTTAAGGGTAGAATCACTGATCTCAGCCTTGGAAGTTTGACTGCTCAACGCCCAGCCCCCTGACTTGAGGACGTAAGACATGTCCATTTTATAAATAATAGTAATAGGTAACATTTAGGCCCTTACTATGGGACAGGTTTATGGTAAGTGTCTCTGAAAGGCTATCTTACACGAAGTTACCAGTTTGTCATAGATCTAAGGTTTTGAACTCAGTTTTATGTGATTCCAGACCTTTTACTCCATATCGCCTCTCTAAAGCACCAGAGGTCCATGGCTCACTAACTGTCCCTGTTGACAGAGGAGGTGAGAGATGAAATGGGGGAGAGGGTGGTTAAAGGGAAAGTGGATCTTTGGCCTTTCCATTCAGTGGCTCCTTTTCCAATGTGGCTGGTGATCCTTTTATAGGTCGTTAAATCAATTTAATGGGTCAGGAACTATATTCAAGAAAGAAGGGGGGAGGAAAGAAAAAAGAAAGGAAGAGACAAAGGAAAGAAAAAAATCAAACAGCACCACATCTAGTAGAATAGCATTGTTCCATTCTGTACGGGCATGCTGGGTTGCTATGAAAAAATGTCTTTCTTAGAAACTGTAGGTTGTAGTACCAAAAGGTAATTAAGTTTCATTCAAACTCAACAGTCATTAGGAAAATAAAAATTAAAGTAATAAGACACCACATGTTTTCAGAAGCAAAAGTCTAAAAATAACTGAAATGCCTATCAGTAGAGAAATGGATGAATAAATTATACTGTATCCATACTACAGTATTAAAGAATGGCTTAAGTCTACACATATTAAGCTAGAAAAATGTCCTGTGGTGTACTATTAAGAAAAACACACTGTGGATAAAATGCATGTGATATGATTATATTTTTATGCATTAAATGCTGTAACTCTCAACATGTAGGTAAATGTCTGGGTGGTGGATTAGGTGGGATGGAAAAGGAGAGAAGGAAGGAAGGAAGGAAAAAAGGAAAGGCAGTTGCTAACTAGCAAAAATAAGTATGTGTATCACTCAGGCTCCCGTAGGAAATAGAGGACATGTGCAAAGTGTGTAAATTGAGAAGAGTTTAGTAAAGCAACTCTTGACAAAGTTGTGGGAAGTGTTTAGAAAAGAAAACCAACATGGAATCCTCTAATCCTTCAGGCACTGTAGCAACAGGGAGCCATTCCCACCACCAGGGGCTGAAGGCGCATGTGCAGGTGGTCGCCAGGGTCAGAAGGCAGCCATATGAGGAGAACCTCCAGATAGGTGCTATGGACCCTGGTAGCAGGGGGCAGTCAATCTACTGTGACTGTCAGGGAGGGAGATGATTTCTTTGTTCTCCCACCCTCCACTCTCCTGCCTGTGCATCCCACTGGCTAACCCAACTGGAGGCCAGAGGGCTAGAGGACCCATCGATGCAGCCCCCAAAGATCAGCTGCCTAGGACTCAAAGCAGGGTGGAGGGGGCACAAATGGATGATAGCCAACACGAAGTGAAAAGGTAGAATATGAACTCCATCTATCATTTTTCTTTTTACATGTAAAAATTAAATATTTGCATGCATAAGAATTACAAGGTTACCACAGGACAGTATTTGTCTTTGTGATGGTATCTTGGACTTTAGTTAATGAAATCCAGTATCTTCAATAATGATTATATTTAAGAGATTAAAAAAAAAAAACTCTGCAGTAAAAAAAAGACCTGAGTTAAAATTCTGATTCTACAGTCACTGGCTATTCCTCTAACTTCCTCATCTCTCAAAGGGAAATGATAAAAGTACCTACGCTCCTAGGGTTGCTATGAGGATTAAATGAGCTAATAGATTTTGAGATCTTAAGAACAATGCTTGGCGCATAGTAAACGTTTTAATTGTTTGCTGTTATTATGGTGACGGTGGGAGGTCAAAAGTATCCTAAGGGGATCTACTTGTCTCCCTGCCCCCTCTCCAATCTACCCACCATCCAACCAGAGCAAGCTCTCTTAAAGGGCACACGTGATCATGCTGCTCTCTTCCTTGAAATCTGTCCATGGTCTCCAGACCTCACAGGACAATACTCAGCCCTCACCCTTGCACGAATCTCTGGCCTCATCTGTCTCTACTCCCCTTTTTGTGCCTTCATTCCAATCCCACCAGTCCTTTCTGGTTCTGCACAAGAGCCATGCTGTCCCAGAGCCTCTGCTGGAAATGCCCCTGGGCATACATACCATGCCACTTTTCCTACCTTGCTAACCCTAACTATTCATCACTGAAATTTCAAGCATCACCTCCCCTAAGACTGCCTGTCCCCCTGGCTCCCAGTCTGATATATAAGCAGCTTTCTCCTCATTCCATTACATCCTATCTAGGCTGCATCACGCCATACCCCTGATCATGAGTGTATTGATTCCCTTATCAGTAGTGGGTCCCTCAAAGGCAGCAATAATGACTGTCTCTAGACTCCAGCACACAGCACACAACCTGCTGACAGTGAATACTTAACCATGATTTGTCTGAGAATTAAATTCATAAATGAATGAGTAAAGTAACCGCCCCAAAGTCACTCAACAAAGTTAAGCAGCAGAGCCAGATTTCAACCCCAGCTTTGTTTGACTCCAAAGGCCACCGCTGTCTCCCGATCATCTGGAAGTTCTAAGGCTGCCCGACACTCCAGAGTAGCTGCGTGCCTGAGGGAACTCCCAGGGGCCCTGGACCAGTTCAGGCCAGAATGAGCTGGTCAGCAGAGACCGGGAGGAATAAATGCCTCCTTTCTGGGAGTGTCAACCCCATGACATTTGCTTTATCGAGGGACTTTCCCAAGAAAATCAATTTCTGGAGCATGTTAAAATATAAACAAACCCCCACCCACCCACCCACTCCCTAAAGACAATTGGTCCAAAGAGCTCTTTGAGAATTCAGACAATTCCACAATGTTGAGAGCACCATCTGATCACATGAACTTTGTTTTCCCTAACCAAGCATTCTTTCACTGGATTTTTGTTTTAAATTTGGCTCCGCTATGCAATCTGTATCCCCACACTATATGGTTTTTACCCAAGGCAAACCGGTGTGCACGGCCACAGATACTCTGGGGATTCCTGACATATGCACCATTTGAGATTTGCTCTTGTGGCTCATGATGGTATTGCCAGACTCCCTTGCTAACAGAGTGTGTATCTATTTATAACTGTAACCTATTATCCTATTTTCCATATAATTGGATGCGACTTAGGTTAAAAAATATTCAGCTGCATAAGAAAAGTCATGCTCTTATACAGCAGATGTTCACTCAGCGTGGAAAGTGAATTAGTCTTTAACACAAATACCCCAAAATACATAGTACTCTTTCCATAAGCACTGATGTCAGTATTTTACATTGAAAAATGATTTTAAGACAAAGGATATTAAAAATGCGAGGGAGGTAGCCAGAGCTGGTTTTTAAAACGGGTGTTAACTTTACCTCTTTATTGGGTGACACTGCTTCCAATTCGGGCATCGGATTCACTCTCCAATTCAGGGCACAGAAAAATGATTCGTAATTTATTTGTTTTTCACTGTCTTCAAACCTAAAAATATAATTACATGATTTGACTCAATCTGCAGAATTCAGGACCAAAATGTCAGCTTAAATCCACCACGAAAATATATCAGGTATGCGTTAATATCTGATCCTCTTCCTAGTTGATTACCTATTTCTAATCGTCCAGGTTGTAAACTCTTTGAGAGCAGAGACCTCCTATATCTAATTCACCAAAGTATTCCCAGCACCTAAATCAATGCTGGCACGTAGTAGGTGTTCAACAAATATTTGTCATAATTGCCATAGAAACAATTTATTCAGTAACTAAGACCATTGCTCTATTTTAAGAACATTGAAGGTCTTCTTAATTTAATATGGTTGATGCTGTATGTCAGTAAAATTTTTAAAACGTCCTTGTTTTTCTTAAATTGTGTGCTTTTTAAATCTTTAAAGCAAGTCTAGATTCATTTTGTCCAGTAATATATTTTCAGGAAAAATAAAAGGCATTTTTATTATTCATTATGTAGCCATTAAAAGGGGTTATTTAGATCCATATGTGCTGTCATGGAAATATGTTCATGATATAAGGCTGAGTGGAAAGGAGGTTATAAAATGGTACGTAGAGTTATGATCTTACTTTAGGTTTATATTTGAATAAAATGGCATTTAAAAAATCTAGTAACAATACACTGAAGTATTAAGAACAGCTATCTCTTGGAAGAGATGATAATTTTTGCTTTTTCTTTAGACTTTTCTGTATCATCTGAATTGTTTTAAATTTATAATCAGAAAAAATTAAGCTCGTTTTCATTTTGAAGGAAAAAACAAATGATTATCCTGTACCATAAAACTGTAGGTCACAAATAACTAATCTATTTGACTACTATTTCCTAATTATGGACACTGACATAAATTTATCATTAACCATAACAGTTTAGGCCATTAAGATCCAGTAATTTCAAGACAATTGCTATAATGACCTAAACACAAACAAAATACTTCTTATTGTAATACCTCAATGCTACCTATTCGGAATTTGACCAAATTCTGCCAATTTTTAAGGCTAAAGGTACACTGGTATATAACACAATTTCTTGAAGAAAAAGACGAAGGTAGTCGCTAAGGCCTTGTTCCAAGCACCCTGCTCCGGGCTCCTGCCCTTCTCTCTCGACCTCTTAACTCAACACATCCCTCCAACCAGCAAGAGAGGTGCAGGATGAACAGAGGATAATTAATTATAAGAAAACTCAGTGGTAACAGAAGTAGAGGAAGAACATACTTATAATCAGTCAAAAGGCGTTTCTCTTTTTTTCTCAAAGCATTCAGAAAATAATAGCTCATATTTATAAGCTAATAAAAATTAGCAGCAACAAATTAAATGTTACAAGATGAAGTCACATCTATAGACTGATCAACCTAAACAAAGCAGAATAAACAGGACTCAGAAGAGGGGAAAGGGAATTCAGTAATTCTTTTGTGTACACTTTCTTTGGCCAAGGATTCTGGGATACAACTCCAATATGCTGCCCCCTACCACTGTTTTTTCTTTGAATTTTGGCTCACTTGTCATTTGAACTCCTTCAAAGGACATGATCTGTTTATGGAAATATTTGTAGCCAAAATGCAGGACAATTATGTCTTTTCTTTGTGTGTGTTTTGGGAGAAGAACTAAAACTCAATTAAAGATGTTTTATAAGAAACTTTCCTCTAACATGGTGCCTCAAAGAAAAGTATTCCCTAATTCTCTGCGCAGGAGCTGAGGTCAGAGAATGAGATCATGGAGGGCCTTTGACTTTTATACTAAGGACCACTAAGAGCCATCGAAGCATACTGTACGGAGCAGTTATGACCTCTATGTTCTATTTTCTGAAGATCATTCTAGCTGATATGTTGCAAGTAGAATGGAGGGGCAAGGCCGAAGTGGCAAAGGCCATTAGCAGCCTTTTGCAGTGATCCAAAGGAGATGATGGCGGTTTAGGTGACAGTGGTGGCAGTGGAAGGCAGTGAGGAGTGGTAAAGCCTGAATATACTGTGAGTGTAGGATTCCTGAAGGATTGTATACGGTGTATAGGGCGGGGAGAGAGGCAGAGAGAGAATGAATAGGAATGGATTCGGGACAACTCCAAGGGTTTTGCTTGAACAACTGGGAAAACAGAACCGTCCTGAGACAGTAAAGACTGCAAGAGCTACAGGTTGGGAGAAAAGATCAGGAGTTTGGTTTTGGATGTTACATTTTGATGCGAAGTGAGCAGCTGGGTATAAGAGTCTGAAGTTCAGGGCAGAGGTTCGAGTTAGAGATAGAAATGGGGGAGTCATTAGCATTTAGACGGTAGTGAGAGCCACCAGACTGGGAGACTGGACGAGATCACCAATGAAAGAAGTTTCTCTAGCTGTTCGTAAAATACAGAATGTAATTGTTGGTAAATTCCCATTACATCAAAGACAGGAGGCACTCACTGAATCCTAGACGCTTCAGAAGTATAACATCCCAGTAATTTGGGAACTAGTCAAAAGACTACCAAACAGATTTAGAATTTTTCCATCTCCTCTAGTCTGCCCTAATTCCAAGCCACCATCATCTCTCACCTGGATTACAGGAAGAGCTTTTGTATCCTGGTCTTGCTGCTTCAACTCCTACCCTGCTGCAGACCACCCTCCACCAGAATGATGTTTCTAAAACACAGATCAGATCAGTTACTTCCTTGTTTGCAACTCTCCAATGGCTTTCCAGTCCACTTAGAACACAGGCCGAACTCCTTATCAGGGTTTCTAAAATGCTACATAATCTGGTCCCTGCTGACCTCTCAGATCCAATCTGAAAACTCTCCCTGTTCACAATGTTTTAGGTACCCTAGCTGTCTTGTTCTCTGAGCATACCAAGATTGTTACCAGCAATGCAAGACACTTGCACCTTCTGGTCCCTTTGTCTGGAAAGTCTCGATTCAAATGGTGCTTCCTCAGAAAGACCTTCCTGAAGTTCCTTTTATTGGGTCATACAAGAAAATTTCTAGAAGTCACCACTGAAGTCCTAATATCAGATTTCTTACCCATACGTCTGATATTTACTCATGCTTACCTGTTAACCTTAGGCCCCCGGCATTCTTCCCTGCTCAACTCACTATATGTCAGACTCAACACATCTAACCATTTACCCACCTCAAAAGATATCTGGAAAGGATATTCCTGAATCAAATGATATTTGGGAAGGATCAAAAGCCATAAATGAAAGAGTACACAGCTCAGAGATGACGTATAAAATCTTTGTGAGGAAAAATATATGAAAGATTTAATCTTTCCAAAGTCCCAAAGCAAGGCCTCAGGGAAGAGTTGAGCTAATGTGGTATAATCCTCCAAGTTTTTCTTTTCAGTTCTGTCTTGGAGGAGTTCAATGGATCTGGGAACCCCCCAGAAGGAGCAAGGGAGAAAAGAACAAGGAAATCTTTCAATTAAAAGGGATAAAATTAGCCAATGCTTCTTGGAAGAATTCTATGCTCTTGGGAGGTGGACAGAGTTGCAGTAAGATCATGACGGGTCACTCACAAATATTTATCTCCCTTTCCCACCAAAATCTCACCAAAATGACAATAAAGAAAGAAAAATAGGTAATAATCCTCAATGACAAAGGTAGCTGGAAAAAGGGCAACACTGGGTAAGAGACTTTCAAAATCTTTTGCAAGATGGAAATCAGACCGAGGATGGGTGACTGACTTGGCAGGGCTGAAGTAGGGAAGCTGAACTCTTAAGTGTCCATGGCAGAGGCAGGAGGTGCTTAGAGATTAGCCAGTGTGGCCTGTAAAACTCCTGAGAGGCTCAGCAATCTCAGACTCCAGGTGCCAACAGAGGCAAGGATGCAGTGTGGGACCAAGAACAAGGCCTGTTTAAAAGTCTGAATAAAGCAGGAGCAGCTGTATCTTCTACACTGTACTTACTCTTCTCTGTAGAGGAGTGAGGCTTGTTCTCCAGAGAAATTCAGCTACAGAAGCCCCAGTCTTGGGGAGGTAAGTGCCATGAAGGGCAGGGAAGAACATCGCACACTGACCTTGGGCCTCTCAGCCCTCTTCCATCCCCTTTCCTGTCTCCAGAACACCAGTGGCCGTACTTCAATTCTCCTTTTCCCCATCCCACCATCCCTCCTACCCCCGCAGGAGAAGACAGAATTCTGATGCTCTGAATAGCCCCAGACAGAGCTCTGGATGGCAGCTTCTGGGGATTCCCTAATGCAAACGCAGGCTAGGAGGTGACTCACTCATGCAGTGAAACCCACCAGTCAACAACACCCACTCCCCAAAAAGCTTCCAACATTAAGGACGGAAGTCAAAGCAGCAACTGAAAAAAAAAAAAAGGGGGTCAGGGAACAAGATAGTTCAGGTAGCAGAGGGAAAGATGTGAGATAAAAGGATGTATTATACCCATGAAAAAAAGAACAGAAGACTACAGAAAAGGAACTAAAGGTGTGCTCTTGGAATAAAAAATATAGCAGAAACCAGGTGCAGTAGAAGGGCTGGAATATAAAGGTAAAGAAATCCCTTAGTAAGTATGTCACAATGACAAAGAAAAAAATCAGGGAGAGAAAAGGTCCAAATTCAGAAGCACCCAAATCTCTTTTTTCCCCCATTTCCCACATTAATATACACTCCCAAATTACACTCCAAAGTGCAGGAGAGCCAAGATCCTAATGTCAGGAGTTCTAACAAGAGAAAAATGAAAATGGAGGGGAGGAGATTAAGAATTAATGGAAAATTTCTCAGAACCAAAGGACAGAGTCTCTAGACCGGAAGTGTTAAGCACAATGAGCCTACAGACACACATACGCACCACAAGGCCTCATCATGAACTTCTCCGGAATAAGGAGAAGATCCTAAGAGCATCCAGAAAGAGCACCAGGAATGGGAATCAATATTAGGCTAAATTCTCAAGCATCATAACAGGAAGTTAGTAGTAGGATCTAAAAATGAGAAATCCAGAAATAGCAGTATGGGCACGCTATTTAAAGGTCTACAGAAACAGCTCGAAGGGCTGAAAGTGGCTGTTTCTTGAGAATGGGTC